TTTTTTTTTCAATAAATATTAATGTTAGCCCGCGACTTTGTTCCAGTTTTGAATTTTGGCCCACTGTGTATTTGAGTTTGACACCCCTGTTTTAGATGATCCTGTAGGCTCGGTTGTTCAGTTCAGGTCATACGGTACAGAAAGTGGACTCCATGTTCTTAATTTTGGTTGTTTTGCAACTGTGAGAAATGAGGGCTATTTTTGATCTTCTCACTGGGTACCAATTTATGGTTGACAAGCCATTAGCCAATGAGCATGCAGTTTCAGTCAGAGCTGACCCTGTTCATCTGGATCTTGATTAAAAGGAAGCAGTGGATATTTAACGTGTGTGAGCAGGGAGCAGGATGTTACATGCTTCAGCTGTGCCCTCCTCTGGAGGGTGGGTGTTGTTCAGCTGCTTAGGGCTGCCAGTAACAGTGAGGGGATTGGTTGTTCCTAAATTAAGAGTGGAGGCTTGTTGCATCACTCAATTTCCAACCAGTGCCACCTAACTTCATAGTTGAGTGAAGTTAGGTGTCTCAATTATGTAGCGACTTGCTGTGGGATTTAGGAGGGATTTCACTGTGTTCAACTGGGAAAAAAAGCCTTTTTCCTGCATTTTCTGTGGTTGTTTTAATCACCAGTTATTGCAATACTGTTATTGCTCATGAAAGATGACTAATAAAAACAAATTTCTGTGTAGCAAAAATAAAGGGCATGTCTACTTATTTTTTATGTAGTTAAGGCAAGGCTTGTGGAGTGGGTACTGAAGACTCACTCTGGAAATTAAGCATGACATTTTGAGCATCGATTGTTAATCTCTTAACAGTTTATTTCTTTTTTTAACCTCTCAGCCTTAAAATGCTCAGGGGGCAGGCGTGGACACCCAAATAAGTGGTTTTTAAAATTTAAGTTTTCTGATATTTAGTGGGAAGTCCTCCTTTATTAGCAGCATATGTGATAGCATGGGATATCAAATATCTCCTGTGTCTGTGCTCATTGGAGTGGAGCTGAAAAAGATGGCACAGTCCCTTGTGGAGCTCCTGTATACACATCAGACATTTACTTGCATACTGTGCAGCTTATCTCTTTAGCAGTGGGACGGTGTGGGGTGTACTTAGGTTTTCACAGGACTGTGAAAACATTCCAAATGGCTGCATAGTAATATTCAAGGTCATGTTAGTTACACTGAATTAGGGCACGCCTTTGCCTCGTGTACATTGCCTCGTAGTGGAAAAAAATGACATTCAAAATTAATGGTACACAATATAATTGATACAGACTAGTATAGCAAAACCACAAATTACTACAAAATATTTGATACCAGTTACTTAAAATAATATGTAAATCCAATCGGTCTCCTGGCTCAGCAGTTATGAATAAAGCAGACAAAGTGTTTGCTGTATGTTAATGTCTCCACCTGCGGACAGAATGCACACATTGCATGCAGTAGTTTTGAACCAAGCTTGTACAGCCTTCCTGCTGTACTTCGGCTGCCCACAAGATGGAGTGATTTGTGCCAGCACATTATGCACCTGATCACTGCATGCACTCTGTCCTTCAGGTCTTTGTGATCACTACTTCTGGTAAAATTTTAATTTTATTATTTTATGTTAAAATTGAAATAAAAAAAGAGGACAGTGGATAAAAGTACAGTAAAATTTTAGTTCAGGTGCTTGGCATGAGTGTGATTAACAAACTGCAAATGATGTCACAGCATAAAGCCACTAAGCTCATGTTTAAAACAATAAAGGACCTTCCATCCTGACTATAAAAATTAGATACTGCTAAGAAATCTCATCTCATAATGTGATGTATGTGATGAAATAATAGCAGCAGTTAGTCAAGGCCTTTGTCACACACTGCACTTGTGATGCAGAATACTGCCCATAGAGCTTTTCGGCGAATCCTCATGAACTCCGTCACTTGACACCCCACAGGCTTTTACATATTGGTTTGGATGAAGGCATCTGGATCGCATTGCTTCACACTTCATCTGTCCCAGCCCCCATCAAGTACTCAGATGTGAAAAAATAAGGCTGAGAAACAAAGTACTGTATGTATGTACACGACTAGGCTGAAAGTCATCATTAATGTTGATTATATGAACGTGCATGTGGTTATTACAGTGAGGCCCTGAGCTTAGCCTTCCTCTGGTACATGCTCAGCTGTCACGTCCCGGACTGGAGCAGCACATGCTCTAGAAATAACCCAACCCAGTTCCTTCCTAGTTACAACCTCAAAGTCGCCCCCCTGTGGTTTCCACTATTTGACTTTCCACACTCACTCTCATGTATTACTAGTAGTAATCTGTGCTGATGAGAATTCTACAAATGCATCAGACGGCAGACCAAGATCTTATTGCTCTGTGATTGGGGGTAAAAACATAGGTTACCTGTGGTTCCACATGTAGATGGGCTAATTGGCTTGGTTAAAAAGCTTTCTGGTTTCTATGAACAGTCCTTTTGCAGTTGATGGTTTAATCATGTCTTCCTTGAATTCATCTAAATAATCTGTGAAGTGAGAAAACCATCTGCTAACATGTAATCTTGAAATAATTTGATGGGATCAAATAATTTAGGTCTTTATTCAGGTATTAACTGCATGTGTACAAAGAAAAGTCTTAGACAATAATGGCGGGCCATACAATATTATTACCAAGGAATAAAAAAATGGGCTTCTTGCACAGCATTCTGTGGTTTTATCTTATCTACTTTGTCATAATGGTTAAAAACAGATGATTTGTATGGGACACATCAGTGAGACTAACATGCTAGAATCGTTTTGAGGACTCAAAACAAGTCCTTCACCAGATGCTCCTCCATTTTTGTCTAGTATTTGGTTGTACTGAAATATACTGTATGGCTGTTCAGTTCAGGTGCTCTGCTGGGCTCTTCTTCCCTTGGTTCCATCAAGATCGCCAGAGGTCTCTGTTATACAACAGCCATAGAAATCTGATGTTCATCTGGGTGTCATGAGATGCCATCAAAAGAGTAAGCAACTGGACTGAAACACTGGCAAATCAGTGGCTTACTGCAAAAACATGAAACATGTCTGCAATGGATGATATTCTTCTGAGCTAATACTTGATGAATCTTTCTTGTTCCTGTGATGGATTTCAATGGTTGCACGAGTATAGTGTCATAAGATATAATGATAATCTAGTGTAAGTGTCTGCCATCCACAATGTCCTCTCAGCACAATGGGGTCTGCACATCTCTTTACTGTCGCCCCAATGCCATCTGGGGCACCCTTGCCATGGGATGTAAGGAATTCCATGTTGCATTCTTGAATCTCAGTTGGAGGAAGGACAGCAAAACTGTTTGCTTCGACCATTAATTCAATTCAATTCAATTCAATT